CTCGAGAAGACCGTGAACTTTTTTAAATTGTGCTTTATTTTTACATCAAACTACAATCTCAACTGAACTGTGACTAGGAGTGATATTGTATTTTTTCAGATGAGCATTCTTTTGCAATCTTGAAGATGCTTTACTCGAGAAAAACGGTGTTTTGTTGACAGTCTCTTTGTCTTGATCTCTAACAGTCTTTCGGTCCGTAAAATAAACCCCTCACTCAGTTTAGAAACAATTTTATCGCTAAAAACATTGATGTCTGCAAACCTTTACAATATTCCTTTGTCCATTCTCGTATTTTTTGTGTGTTTTTAGAGTCACTTTATGGCGAAGTTTTGCATGTTTTCGTCTATGGAGGTGGTCGCCGTGTTGCTTTATTGCATAGTTTTCATAGGAGGTAATTGGACAAAAGAGATTTTTGATTGTCGTGCTTTCATATCCCTCCATTCGCTTTATTTGACGACTGATACAAATCCCGTTCAACATGTTTTGATTCAGTCGAGACAGGGGCGACTTTTGGGGGAAATTCACTAATATAGTATTCTATTAACTATTTATAATTTCAGAATGCCATACAAGACAGCAAGATTTTCTCGCGAAAAACGTGTATATACAAAGCATGTTCATTTCCGCATTTGAGACTGCTCTTCGTTGAAAGGTCAAAGTGCCATGTATTGCAATGCTTTGTGGGGGAAAATGACGCAACTCTCGCACTGTCTCATGATTTATCGCGTGTTTTCCGTCGCCTGTTTAATGCTAATGACTTCTTAACTCGTTAACACCTCTCTTGTTTCAATGTTTATGGAGACAAGGGTGGGTACAATAGAATGACGCGGCGCTTCCTAACCGTCCTAGTAGAGTGACTGTGGTTTAAGTCAGTGAATTGACTGATAGTGTCGGGGTCAACAGAATGTCGAGTCATGTTATCAGTATCCCATACACGCAGGTCGAAATTCACGCTTTCAACTTGAAACTCGATATCCCTCAGGCTGTTTGTGAGTGTTCATGTTTTAGATAACATAAATATACCAACATCTGTTGTTTATCATCTACGTGGGAGGTCTATTTCACGTTGGGAACACTTAGGACTAGACACGCCTTACATTTAATCTTGTGATTGAGTTCAGACTGGCATTCACAAGTGTGCTTCGGAATGATACACATCGCTTATATCAAACACCGTTGATATTCGCGAGTGGAACGCGTTGGGCCACTTTCTGTCTGAAATACCCTTACCACGAAGACTATTATGACTCGTACGGTAGTCATGTCATGGAATTTATAAGATTTCTCGTACGTGGATCTACAATCATCAAATACTTTCAAGCCATGTGTTGCCAATACGTCCTGTATGACTCGTAGTGTCCATGAGATGAACTTTTCACGGAAGGTCAAACTTGGTCTACCGCCTTTGAATCTTTGGCAAGAAGCGAGGACATATTTTCTTCGTCGGGGGGAAAACGAAAATCGCTACGTTACACTGTAAACTCATTCCGTGTGATGATTATGTATGTCAAAAGTTATTCTGTGAAACGATCAGGTAATTATACATTTTAACTCATAGTAGCGTAGTCCGCCATTTTTTGAAAAACAAACTGTACGTCGATCAACCGATTTTGCATACTTTGCATTTTAGCGGATTGATGACCGCAGTTTTACGGGATAATTCATACTATTAAATTTTCAACACATAACTTATACTTTCTTTATATAACTATCGGTTTTTAATATTATCCTCTCTTTCTCTCTCTTTCTTGTACGACAGATGAGCGATTCTGATTATAGTGATGGAATAAAAAAAAAAGTGTACAGACTGCTTGACTCATTGAAAGGAAGTAAGAAATGTAAAAATAAACAACATATGTATATATAGAATGAATTATTTTTTATTGATCAATGTTTACTATTATTGGCTTTTCTCGTTTCTGTGTTTTAATCGAATCGTTTATGTACTCGTATTTTTTGTGGCATTAAAAATAAATTTAACCACGCCGCACATTTACATGTATCTACGTATTTTTCGAGGTGTTAACAAAGAAATATTTAATCACGCTAAACATTTATACACTACGCAACTATTTTCCTTACTCACATCGTATGTTTTTTTGTGACGTTAAAAAAATACTCAACCATGTCATAAATATATACTCCATGTCAATATTTCATTCTTGTTTACTTCTTTTGTGCAATAAACTCCATTAGTTTTCAAAATGACGTGTATTTATTAACGTGTGTGTGTGTGTGTGTGTGTGTGTGTGTGTGTGTGTGTGTGTGTGTGTGTGTATGTGTGAGCGCCCTCTACGATATATTCTGAAAATCTTTCGTCCACGCCTGTCCAATTAAAAAAATAATTAAAAATAATTAAAAAAAATTGATGGTAATTTATGCAAATGTATTCACGATGACCTCGACACGACCTCGTATTCACATCTATTTTATGTATGCAAATGTATGCACAATTTCCCTTACGGCATTGGTCCTCATTTATGCTAAAATCTTTCGTCCACGCCTGTCCAATTAAAAAAAAAAATTAAAAATAATTAAAAAAAAAAAAAAAAAAAAAAAAATAATTAAAAAAATTGATAGTAATTTATGCAAATGTCACGATGACCTCGACACGACCTCGTATTCACATCTATTTTATGTATGCAAATGTATTCACAATATCCCATTGTGACGTCATCTTCATTCAAATGATCCCTTTACGGCATTGGTCCTCATTTATGCTAATTTATGCACGAATTCCCATTGTGACGTCATTATTTATGCTAAAGATGGGACTATAGGTACGACCATGAGGGCGCTGTTCG